TTAATTCAAGACATTGATGAATGAAATTCAGGATTTTTATGGCACACATTCAGATTTTTAGAACACACAGTGCTGATATTGACTGTCAAGTAACATGGGGAATAATTAGATTCACGACTCAACCCCATTAAACTGATTGACATGTATATTCCGTCAATTACTAAAAGAATTCAAGTGCTTCTGACTTCTTAAAATATACTGTGGTACCCCACCTCAAAAATATCAAAATGGTTTGATACTTAGATTTTCTAATCATCTGTTCTATATTCCTCCTGCAACTAAAGTGTAACTGCTCCAAGGAAATTATAAATTGGATAAAATATTTCTTTCACACCATGGCAAACTGAAAATTAAAAACACCTGCTCAAACATTGATCTTGTTCAATTGGAGACTAGATTACTTCAGGAATTCATCTTGGATTCACAATTCCTTGGTGTTTCTAGCTATATGAACTGCGTTGCTGATTTATGCATTTTTGTTGTCAGTGACACATTATAAACAGTTCTCTAGAAGCTCAGAACTGCCAATTGAAAGGGAATCAATGATCAGCTAGAAATTGCCAGAAATGCATAATGTACCTTTAGCTGATTTGTCAACTTTTGGTAAATGAATTTTGAAAATATTGGAATTTCAGAGAACAAAATTGCTTAGGATATGACTTGGAAATACTCGTGGCATTTACTGCATTTAAAAATAAAACAGAGAACAGTGATAATTTGAATATGTTGTTTTATCATTTTCATACCTGCTGCCATGGGACATGACTTTTAATATCAGACAAATTACATTGGAAAAGTGCCAAATCTAGGGAAAGGTCGACAAAGCGCTGACAGAGGAGAGAATAAAGGAACAGCTACACTTGAAGCTTCAGAGCTCAAAAGGTCAACAGTGTTTTAATTCAAGAATACTATGTGGCAATTATAACTTCACCCGGCAGATAGTGGTCAACATCCTGCACCAATATCACATTCTCTGAAACCAAACACCATGGGATCCTTCTTGACATATGCACATTGGGATCTGATGTTATCATCAGACCCAGGCTGTAATATTAACTGGTGCCCTAAAAGAAAAGCAATTGTAGTTTTCCTACCAGGATAAGAAGGTGGGAGGAGGACATAGTGCAAGGACAGGACTAAAAGAAATATGTTGATCAGAGTTCAGGACCAGCATGTTCCTGTGGGGTTGAAAGGTAAGTATGGCAAGATTCGGGAACCCTGAATGACAAAAGATATTGAAAGTTTAGTCCAAAAGAGAAAAGAAGCATATGTAAGGTTTTGGGAAACAGAAATCAAACAAGGCCTTTGAGGAATATAAACGAAGCAGGAAACAATTTAAACAAGGAACTAGAGGGTGAAAAGTGGCCATGAAATGACGTTGGCAAGTAGGATTAAGGAGAATCCCAGCGCATTTTATACATATATTAGGAGCAAAAGGGTAGCTAGTGAAATGGTAGGTCCACTCAAGGACTTCACTTACGCGTGGAGCCAAGAGGAAGTGAGTCAGGTCCTTAATGAGTGAATAATGAGTTTGCATCGGTATTCACCAAGGAAAAGGACAAGGATGATGGCAAGATTTGGGAGGGCTGTTTTGATATTCTAGGGCATGTCAATATTAAGAAGGAGGTGGTGTTGGGAGTCTTGAGAAACATAAAGGTAGATCAGTCCCCAGGGCCTGATGGGATACTGAGGTAGGCAATGGAGGAAATTGCTGGGGTCTTGACAGAGATCAGAGATCTTCATATCCTCTTAAACTACAGGTGAGGTCTTAGAAAACAGAAGAATAGCCAATGTTGTTTCTTTGTTTAAGAAGGGCAAGTGGAATAATTCAGGAAATTATATGCTAAAGAGCTTTACATCAGAGGTAGGTAAATTATTGGAGAAGACTTGTAGGGACAGGATTTATTCACATTTGATTTATTAGGGCCAGTCAGCATAGCTTTAAGTGGCGGAGATCTTGTCTCATATATTTGATTGAGTTTTTTGAGGAAATGATGAAGATGATTGCTGAGGGTAGAGCAGTGGATGTTGTCTACATGGACTTTCCTAGGGCATTCGACAAGGTCCTTATGGTAGGCTGGTCCAGAAGATTTAGTCATAGGGGATCCATAGTGAGTTGGTAAGTTGGATATAGAATTAGCTTGGCCATGGAAGAGAGAGGGTAGTTGTGGAGAAGTGCTTTTCTGACTGGTAGCCCATGACCAGTGGTATTCTGCGAGGATCAGTGCTGGGACCTCATGTTTGTAATATATATATATTTTAATGACTTGGATGATAATGTAGGTAATCTGATTAGTATGTTTGTAGACAACACAAAAATTGATAGAGTTGTGGATACTGAGAAAGATTGTCAAATGATATGGTACGATATAGGTCAGTTGGAAAGTTGGGTGGAGAAAATGGCATATGGAGTTTAATCCCAACAAGTGTGAGGTGATGCATCTAGACTAGTCAAATGCAAAAAAAAATACAGTTAATAGCAGGACATTTTTAGAGAGGGATCTTGGAGTCCAAGTCCATAGCTCCCTGAATGTGGCAACACAGGTGGTAAATAAGGCATACAGCATGCTTTCCTTCATTGATTGGGGCATTCGGTATAAAAGTTGGCAAGACACGTTGCAGCTGTATAAACTTAGTTTGGCCACATTTGGAGTATTGTATGTTATTCTGGTCATCACTCTACAGGAACGACTTGGAGGCTTTGCAGAGGGTATAAAAGAGATTTACCAGGATGTTGTCTGGATTGGAGTATATGAGTTATAAGAAGAAGTTGGAGAAACTTGGATCAGAGATAATAGGAACTGCAGATGCTGGAGAATCCGAGACAACAAGTTGCAGGGCTGGATGAACACAGCAGGCCAAGCAGCATCATAGGAGCAGAGAGGCTGACGTTTCGGGCCTAGACCCTTCATCAGAAACTTGGATTGCTTTTGCTAGACCGTCAAAGGCCGAGGGGTGACCTGATAGAAGTAAGGAAAATTATGAGAGGCATGGATAGGGTGGGTAGTCAGATTCTTTTTTTCCCCAGGGTGGAAATGTCAAATACTAGGTGGCATGGGTTTAAGGTGACAGGGAGGAAAGTTTAAAGGCAATGTGTGTTCAGCAAGTTTGTACACAGAGGGTGGTTGGTGCCTGGAACATGCTGTCAGGGTAGGTGGTAGAGGTAGATAGGATAGCAGAGTTTAAGAGGCATTTGGACAGACACATGAACAGGCAAAGAATAGAGGGATATGGATCATGTGCAGGAAGATGGGATTAGTTTGGAATGGCAACATGGTTGGCATGAGCATGGTGGGTCGAACGGCCTGTTTCTGTGCTGCACTTATCTATGTTTTACATTTGTCTACTTTTCGTTTGAAGCCAGGAGGAACAGAAGTATCTCTTTATCCCCCTTTCCTGGAAGAATAGCAATTCCAAATCTCCCACTTTCTGACATACCTACCGTGCAAACCTCCGATGGCGCTACGTCAGACTGTTGTGCCCCCTGACGTTGCAGTGGTGTGCAGGTGTGGACCAGTATTACAGGCACATTGCCCACACTCATGCAGTAGCACCATCTGTAACCCTATTCCTGCTCTTGGTTCAATAACATTAATAATATTTGTTATGGATCTGATTACAGAAGGTAATTGACTATGTTTTTATTTAAATTTTGGTCAGCAGAACTAAGCATAAAATCTTTCACCTCAAGAAAATGACTGAATTGAATGCCTTACCTTAATGCAACTTGAAAACTAATAGTTTTAAGGAAAAACAACTACAGAAAATTAATGCACAGATACACATTTAAGAGTGTATCAGGTAAATGATACAAAATTACATTAGTAACAAAATTGAGAATCTAAGCTTTACATGGGATAATTTCAGTGGATTGCTTCTGAATTAGTAGAATGTTCCCATTTTGTAGAAATTGTGGCTGTCTTAAACTAAAAAACTGCAGTCATCAGAATCCGCTGTTGATAACCAATGGTGGATCTGAGGAAAACCATATGATCTTTCTATGCAAAAAAAAAGAGCAAGTAATTGATGCAGTCTATCATTTGAATACAGATCCTGTCACTTGATTCCAATGGATGAATTTTTTTTTGTGCAACTGGATAACAGAGAATACTTCCAGTATACTGTTCAGCTGCACTATTATTTTGTATCAGAGCTTTAATTTCTTTTCTAATATACTCTTAGTCGGTAAGCCTACAGATATACCGATTTTATCCCATTGTCTGATGCATAATTTCTAATATTCTTGGTAGCTCTCATAACAGTACACATTTTCAGCATGTTCCACACCTTTGTATAAAAATTCCTTCTCAACATTGCTGTCAAAGTATGCTTTAGGAACAATACCTTCATATCAAATAATGCATTTACTCAAACTAATTAAATGGTATGATTATAGCCACATTGTTTCTACTTATTTTAGCACTTTCCATCCCAGTGCACAGCGTCTACATGCACCATTATCACAGCTTTCACAATATAAAATGCCAACTTGGTGCTATAAAACACATTTGTAAAATACTGCATTATTTAACACTTTAGTTTCTGACAGTTGCTTCGGCTATGGCACATAGCAAAATGTGCCCACATGGCAGAAAAGGATCTGAGATAATAGCAATTACTTAAACAAACTCAACAGTAAATGGGAAGACACCATCCAGTTCTGTTTTGCTTATCTAAATTGGAGCTGCAGATTTAGGAAGCCATCCAATTCAAATGGCATGAAATTACCCATTTGTTACTGCCTGTAATTTTCGGAACACAGTATGAGTTGACAGTCACTCCCCTTCTGCCAGATCTTTGCAAAGCTTCAAGATAATAGCTGACAGAACAAAATCACATGCCTTCTGCATCACCAAATCATACCTTGTTGCCTCAGACAAAATCACATGCAATCACATAACTGGCAAAAGATTAACAATACCACAAAGAATCATTCAACCTGCATTTTTTTCACTTATTTCACATTTGCAACTGCACCTATGCAAACAAAACTGACCTACCTGGAGTGTTCAACAGTCGCGACATCCTGCAAGAGTATGACACATATTGTTCACAATACTCTGCACTTTTCGTAACAGCAGAGATCTGATTCAGTGAGGTGCTATAATTCAACTTCACAACAACAGGTTTCTCTGGAGTAGATCCAGAAATTGTTCTTTGCTGTGGCATGTCATGGTATAATGTCGTCCAGACTTTATCTTCTGTAAGAAACGAGGAAATCATAATCATCAAATGTTTGTATCCCCTATTGAGTGGCATGACTATTAGCTTTGCTGCAAATTTACAGAGTCTACAGATATGCCAAAAAGTATAAAGCCACAGCAGGGTTAAAGGCAGAATCTTAGGAATGGACAGTCTGAAACCCTGGAAGGAAAGCACAAAGTTTGCGTTGGTTTTGCAGATACACCATGGACCTTCCTTCAAAGTTATGTCAGATGAGTGGAAGAGGTCTCCAAGGACATTCACCCCATCAGCTCAGTAAAGAATTCATTTACATTACTTGCAATAACATAATTGAATATATAATTGTCTGGACACCACCAGGGTCTCTTATTTTGACTCCCTGAAGCAAGGAAAAAAAAAATCACCATTTCACACAAATCCTCTTTCATTTTTATAGTCATAGAGTCATCCAGTAATACAGCATGGAAACAGGCCCTTCAGTCCAACCTGGCCCATGCTGACCATGGTACCCACTCAGCTCGTTCCAACTGCCCGCATTTGGACCACATCCCTCTAAACCCTTCCCATCCATGTACCTATCCAAATGTTTTTTAAATGTTGCTATTGCACCTGCCTCAACCACTTTCTCTGGCAGCCCACTCCATATACGCACCATTCTGTGTGAAGAAGTTGCCCCTCAGGTCCTTCTTAAATCTTCCCCCTCTCAACATAAACCTATGTCCTCTAATTTTCAATTCCCCATCCCTGGGAAAAAAGATTATATGCATTCATCCTATCTATGTTCCTCAAGATTTTATGCACCTCAAAAAATTCACCCCTCATTGTCCTACATTCCAAGGAATAAAGTCCTATCCTGGCCAACCTCTACCCATAACTCAGGCCTACTAGTCCTGGCAACATCCTCATTTATCTTCTTTGCATACTTTCCAGTTTAACTGTGACTTTCTTATAACAGGGTGCCCAAAACTGTGCACAATACTCCAAGTGCAGCCTCACCAATGACTTATACAACTGTAACAGAATGTCCCAATTCCTATACTCAATGCCTTGACTGATGAAGGCCAACATGCAAAATACCTTCTTGACTATGCTTTCTACCTGTGGTGCTGCTTTCAATGAACGATGTACTTGTACTCCTAGGTCCCTCTGTTGCACAATACTCCTCAGGGCCTTACCATTTGCTGTGTAAGTCTTACCTTGGGTTGACTTTCCAAAGTGCAACACCTCACACTTATCTGTATTGAACTGCATTTGCCAATCCTCAGCCCACTTTCCCATCTGATCAAGATCCCTCTGTAATTTTTGATAACCTCAGCATCTGTAGAGAGAAAACAGCATGGTGGCTCAGTGGTTAGCACTGCAGCCTCACAGTGCCAGGGACCTGGGTTCGATTCCAAACTTGGGTGACTGTCTGTGTGGAGTCTGCACATTCTCCCCGTGTCTGCATGGGTTTCCTCCCACACTCCAAAGATGTGCAGGCTAGGTGGATTGGCCATGCTAAATTACCTGTAGTGTTCAGGGATGTGTAGATTAGGTGGGTTTTGGGGGGTGGGTCTGGGTGGGATGCTCTGAGGGCCAGTGTGGACTTGTTGGGCTGAAGGGCCTGTTTCCACACTATAAGGATTCTATGATTCATTATCAATGATACCTCCTAATTTTGTATCATCCTAAGAGGTGGATTTCTGTAAATTCATTTGTACTTCAACAAAACAAAAGGAAAATAAAAGCAAATGGATAGCTAACTGACAATAAGATCATGGCTGATCTGTTTGTCTTTTGAATTCTACATTCCCATCAACCCTGATAACTTTTGATTCCCTTCCTTAACACAAATGTATCTACATCGATTTTAAAATCATTCAATGATCTTATTTCCTCTACCTTCTGAGGCAGAGGGAACCAAAGTCACATAACAGTCTAAGAGGAAAAAAAAATCTCCTTATCTTAGTCCTAAAAGGAAGACTTCTAATTTTAAAATATCCACAAGAGGAAACATCCTTTCCTTGTCTCCTTGTCAAGCTCATTTGGGATCTTATACATTTCGACCAACCTACCCCTCACTCTTCTAAGCTCTAGTGGAAACAAACCCAGCCTGTCCAACTTACCGTCATGTGATAAACCATTCCAGCTATCAATGTAGAAACTTCTGAACCACCTCCAATGCGTTATATCAAAATGATCTATATCTTTCCTTAAATAAGGAGCTGACAACTGCACACTGTATTCAAGATGCGATCTTAGCAGGGTGTTGTAAGACTGAAGCACAACATCCCTACTTTTACATTTAATTCTTCTTGCATTTAATGACAGCGTCCCATTAGCCTTATTGATTGTGTGCTATACCTGCATCCTAATTTTTTTTTCTGACCCATGCACTAGAACATCAAGATCTCTTTGCACCTAAGAATTCAGCAGTTATTTTTCTCTTTGAGTAATATCCTGCTTTTTACATTTTTTTTTGCCAAAGAGAACTTCACATTTTGCCACATTATAATCCATCTGTCATACTTTTTCCCTACTCACTCAACGTATTCAAGGTTTTATGCGAACAAACTTACCAGCTCGGCAAGCAAGTCAACAACCACATCACTCAACGTATCTGTATGCATCTGAAAACTCCTTATGTCCTCTTCACAATATTCTTCCCTGTTCTCTGTATCATATGTGAATTTAGTTACCATGCTTTCATATCTCTCATGCAATTTTTGAGGCAAATTGTAAATTTTTGCGACGAAGTTTGGCGCAGGAACCAAGGCTATACCTCTGCATAAGTAAATGGCATGGTTGACACAAGGTCAGGTCCAGTGATGTATAAAGTTTGGGTAGGGGCAACAGTCCTGAACAAGCACGTGGACAATATGAAAGCTGTAAACTCGCACATGGTGTGGGAGCAAAACGTGCCCGGCTCCTCATCTACCTTTCCAACTGTTCCGGATCCCATAGGTTCTCCGTCTCCATTAAGTGTTGAAGATACCTCAGAATCTGAGATGGACATGGCAGATGTCACCGCCTCATGCCTTTGCTACTGAAGAAGAGAATGAATTTCTTCCGAGACACTCCAGGCGCAAGAGGCAAGCTACTGTGTGTTACAGATGGTCAGTATCAGGGGCAGAGTTAGAAGAACCTGACCTAGCGCTGAAAACCATTTTATGTCTTCAGATTCAGAGGGGAAGGTATGTAGTGACTGTAGCAATGTCAGCCAGGTGGACCTCATAGAATAGGAGTTCCCTAACTGGGGCTGTTAATCTGGATGGAAGGAAGTTTTGCCCAGGGTCATCCAGGATGTCACTAAAGTGGGGCACAAGTGCTGTTGCTGTTGCTGCTCTTCGAGTTCCTCAACTGCATTTCACATAACCAACAGGCAATTGTCACAACTTTGTATTTAATTTCTTTCCAGGCAAAGCCAAGAGGTTTCAAAGGACCTGAGAAACCCACAAAGTGTCAATTTAAAACCAGAATCCAGGACTGAATCTGCAGTTAATTGGCCATGACGTATAGGAAATAGTTTCAAAATTTTCAGATCATTCAAAATGTTGAAGCACTTTCTAAACTGTGGGGAGGATAGTGTAGAACATCAAAAAGACATTGCCAAATTGTTTGCAGCCAGAGAAGTTCAAGAAGTATGAGGTGATACATTTGGCAGAAAGGAATAAATTACAGGTGAACTTTCCCCAATCTGGTTTGGCACAAGCAATGATGATGAAAGTGGGAAAATATGAAGAGAATGCAAAAGTAAGGATCTTGACTGTGAGCACATTTTTGTGTTTTCCCCAAAGCCCTAACTGGTGGCATCAGAATCTTACTATTAAGTGGTGACTACCATATTTCTATCCCTTTACTTCTTATTAAAGCTGTAACTTACTTTATTTATATATCACTTTAAATCCTACTTTCCTTCCCCAAGAAACGAGATGGTATAAATTTCTGACGTGCAAGTCAAGTGAGCACTTGGTGACTGCACCTTACTGAATGCTTGACCAGGCCATCATCTAACTGTTGCTTCACAACAATGCCACTCCATGCTCCATGATCACCATCCTTCTTGACCCTTCACCCACATGTTGGCATTGGCAAATCACCAGCCTCACCACAGCATCATGCCTCCTCTTGGTCCAGCTCTGCCTTTCAACATCTTACTTTGGAATTCAGGGACATCTATAACTCACATGCTTCTCTAGATCATAAATTAAGCAGTGGTGCACACACACACACACACACGCACACGGTGTCACCGGTGGGCCAGCATTTATCACCCATTGTAGTTGTCCTTGCGAAGTTGGTGGTGAGCTGCCTTCTTGAAACAGGGAAATGGTGTTAGTGTGAGTGGATATTTTGGTTGGCATGGCCCAGTTTGGGCCAAAGGGCCTGTCTCCATGCTGTGGAACTCTATGAATTAATGACTCTATATATAATTAAACATAGAGGCTAGGAACAGGGGTTGGCCATTTTGCCTTTTGAGACTATTACACTATTCAGTATGATCATGGCTGATCCTTTATCTCTAATGCCATGTTCCTACTTTCTCCCTGTACTTCTCGAAGCTTTTTATATCTAAAAACATATCAATATCTTGCTTGAATATATTCAGTGACTTGACCTCCACAGCCTTCTGTAGAGGTTAACAAACCCTTCTGAAGGAGGGTCTAGGCCCAAAACGTCAACCTTCCTGCTCCTCTGATGCTGCTTGGCCTGCTGTGTTTATTAGTGAAGAAATCTTTCCTCATTTCAGTCCTTAATGGTCTCCTATTTCTGTATCCTGAGACTGTGATCCCTGTTACCAAATTAGGGAAAACATTATTCCTGCAACTAGTCTGTTCAGCTCTGTTAGAATTTTATACATTTCAATCAGATCCCCTCTCATCCTTTTAAACTCTCGTGAATACAGGCCAAGTTGAACCTATCTCTCCCCAAACAACAGTCCTGTCAGCCTCAGTATCAGCCGAGTGAATCTTTGCTGCATGCTCCCTTTGACAATTATATCCTACATTAGGTAGAGAGACCAAAACAACACACTGTA